AGAACTCATACAACTCAACAATAACAACAACCACCTAAGAACGGGCAGGCCCTAGCCAGTGTAGGTAAATGGTTAAAGTGGCGGCCTGTGCACCAGAGGGTCTCACGTTCAGTTCCTGGTCAAGGGGCACACACCTCAGATGCGGGTTCACTCCCCACCCCTGGTTAGGGTGCATGCGGAGGCAACCGGTCGATGTGTCTCTCACATCGATGTTTCTTCCTTCCTTCCTCCCTCCCTCCCCGTCTCCTTACCTCCCTTCTACTCTCTCTGAAGAGCAAAGGAAAAAAATATCCTCAAGGTGAGATTAACAAACAAACAAAAAAATGGTCAGAGGATCTGAATAGCCATGTTTCCAAGAAGACATACAGATGGCTAACAGGCACATGAAAAGATGCTCAATATCACTAATCATTAGGGAAATGCACATCAAAACCACAATGAGGTATCACTTCACACCTCTTCACACCTGTTAGAATGGCTATTATCAGAGAAATAGGAGATAATAAATGCTGGGGAGGATGTGAAGGAAAGGGAACCCTCATACATTATTGATGGGAAAGTAAATTGGTGCAGCCACCATGGAAAACAGTATGGAGATTCCTCAAACAACTAAGAAGAAAACTATTATGGTCCACCAATTCTACTTCTGGGTATTTATCCAAAGAATATAAAAACATTAATTTGAAAAGGCATATGCTCCCGTGTTCACTGAAACTTTATTTTTAACAGCCAAGATATATAAAAAATTAAGTGTCCATTGTGACTGTTTCTGGTATTGATTGCATTTGTTGGCTGTACAGTGCAACCATAGTCACACACATCAAAACATATGGTTCCTGCCGACAGGGTCTGTATAATTATCAGATTTCCTGTGCGATGGCTCCATACATGTAAAAAAAAAAAATTGCCGAAACCGGTTTGGCTCAGTGGATGGAGCGTCGGCTTGCGGACTGAAAGGTCCCAGGTTCGATTCCGGTCAAGGGCATGTACCTGGGTTGCGGGCACATCCCCAGTGGGAGATGTACAGGAGGCAGCTGATCGATGTTTCTCTCTCATCGATGTTTCTAACTCTCTATCTCTCTCCCTTCCTCTCTGTGAAGAATCAATAAAATATATTTAAAAAGAAAAAAATAAAAAATTAAGTGTCCATGAATGGATGAATAAAGAAGTGATATATATACAATGGAATACCACAGTCATTAGAAAGAATGAAATCTTGCCATTTGTGACAACATGGGTGGACCTTGAGGGTATTATGGCAAGAGAAATAAGATGGAGAAAAATAAATGCTCTCACTTATATGTGGAAACTTAAAAAAAAAAAAGGCAAAACAAACTCACAGATACACACAACAGACTGGTGTTTAACGGAGGGAACTTTGGGGAGGGGAAGTAAAATGGATGAAAGGGGTCAAATATATGGTGACAGATGGAAACCAGACTTTGGTGGTGAGCATGCAATAGAGTATAGAGACATCAAGCTATAATGTTGTACACCTGAAATTTATATGTTAGTATTAACCAATTAACAGTAAAAAATAAAAAGAAAGAAAATGGCAAATTACTAAGTATATTACCAGTTCACTGGCAAGAATTAGAACTCCTGAGAGATAATCTTCTACATCCAGATGAAATCCTTTCTCCCGATCTGGCTCAACTAAAAAAAAATCAAGATAAAAATGAGGTCGTGATATGAATATAATTTAAGCCTTAGCATTTTTTTAAGTGTGTGAAAAAGGATGAATCATGTAAAACAATCTTTTGTTTCCTAGTAATTCTTATTTTTCAATTACAGTTGACATACAATATTAACCTTGGCAACTAGACTTCATTGAGAATTTTTCTAGCTCTCAAGCAAAATTCAATTTTCCTGTCCACTCTTCTTTTCAAAAGTAATACCACAAAAGATGTCAGAGAATATCTGTTTTTAGCAGAAGTCACAATATCTGCAACTGACTTCAAATGGTTGACAAGCCCACACAAATGCACACATGCATACACAGACACACCCAGTGAGGAGACTAAGTAGATGTGGCAAAATGTTAAGAGTAGTGAGTCTAAGGTAAGGGAGTTGTAAACAGGCATTCACTGTATTATTCTTCTAACTTTCCTACAGCCTTGACATTTTTAATAACTAAAGTTTACAAATATAACACCCAAGTACAAAGAGAAGCCACTACATATTTTTAGGTTTTGTGTTTCTAAGTGACTGGTTTTCCACTTAGTTCTCATTTGTTATAATAGAGGTTATAAGCCAACAGCCTCTTCCACCAAAAATTAACCTATCCATTAGTATTGGTTCTGCAGATCAATACTAATGAGGACACTTACTGCCAAGAATTTCTGTGACTGCTTCTCGAGTCACTAGTGTTTCTGATTCCAAGTACACAACAAAGGCCGCCAGGAAGACCAGCCGCTGCAACACAAACCTCCAGTGCTCATGAAATCTACGGAAAGACAAGCACATAGGTTGAGGGACCAGAGGCCTTAAAAAAGACAGGTTTAGTACAGTCAAGTTCAAACATTTTAGAATTGGAATTCTTTTCCAAATAAAATTTTACATGAAACCCCAACATACAAAACATGTAAGAGAAATATGATATTTAAATATATTAGATAAATTTAGTGTATATTTTGCAAGTTCAAATTTATAATTATAAACTAAAAGTTTAATAAATAAGCATGATTCAATTTTATGAATACAAAAATTTACAGCTGAAGATTATGTTCTTAATAAATAAGAACAATGATAGGGAGGAACCAAGATGGCGGCATAGGTTAACGCCGGAGTTTGCCGCCTCGAACAACCATTTCAAAAGTGAAACTAAAAGACGGAAGGGACATCATCCAGAACCACAGGAACGGTGGCTGAGTGGAAGTCCTACAACTAGGAGGAAAGAGTAACGCATTCGGACACTCAGAGGAGGCGCAGTGCTGAAGGCAAATTCTGAGGTGCGGAGTGCGCGGAGC